TATATGAACATAGGTTCACTGTGGTGAGTAAAAGAAACTAAAAAACATCATACATTATTATAACTACATTGTTTTGTTGTAGGTCAATGACATCCTATATGAACATAGGTTCACTGTGGTGAGTAAAAGAAACTAAAAACATCATACATTATTATAACTACATTGTTTTGTTGTAGGTCAATGACAACGGAACTCACGAAAGGACCTTTTCATCAATACTATATCTCAGCAGACTATTGGGTCCACAGTACTGAAAACCTTAATTAAAATGTTATTTTGTCTGAATAAGTTGCAACTAATAGTGAAGAATGAAAATAAAAAATGGTAAATAACGATATACAGATGAATTTGAACATATCATCTTCAACTATTTTTGCTGAAAATTCTCAAAAAGCCAGTTGAGAATAAAAGGTTAAACTTATTATCATACTCCAATTTTGAAATTTTGAAAACCTGATTTAAAAAATTATAATGTAAAAAAAGACTGGCAGTGAATAAGTCCTCGTCAAAGTGAGAACAGTAAAGCTTTATTTGTTTTAAAGCAAAGCTGCAAAATGAGTTATCTGCACTGTGCCAACCGTATGGATCTAATCCAGAATTTTAGTGTTATAAGCTCTAAAGCTTACAGCTGATCTACCAGAGCTGGGGGGTACCAGTAACAGAAGCGGAAACCTAATTTCTCTTCCATATGACGTGTAAAAATATACACTTATAAGGCCAAAAAAGATGACTTGAGAATTTTTAAAACCTTATGAAATTTAGGTATCTTACTACTCTGAAAACATAACAAATCCTGTAAATAGTAATTTAGTATCGTCGATTACTAAAGTCTCATTTTGGTGTTAATCTGTTCAAAGGACGATTGTCCCTCCTGACCCAACTCCGTCCTAAATCATCAAAGGTCCGCTTGTGCGATATGCAAAATTAACAAATTTGGTGTACTAGGGGCCCACTTGGTTCACAGCGCAATTCGTGAAAGGCATGGCAATCTCCGAGACCTCTTACAAGTCAACAACTTGACTGTCACGGCGCCCTCTATTGTTAATTATCTTAACCTTATTAAAAATAGTGCTACATCGAAAAATATTTTAAAAAACGAGCTAGTTATGCGGCCAAATAATTACTGTACAAAAAACACATTTGTAATTTCCAAGTAAGTGGAGTACACGAAACATCTCTAATTTTTCAAGATACAACGATCCCAGGATCTAAGTCTACGGAAAGATAGAGGCATATCATAATGATTTTCAAGAATCACGGAAGTTACTATTATCACATAGTTTCTTAAATGACACATCTATAGGTGGGACGACTGGGGGAGAAATTCGTCTTTTATCGACCATTTTCTCAGTGTATCTCTATTGGCAACAGAGTTAATAATCAATACGATGGATCGACAAATTTATAGTGCCAGTGTTGGATACCATGGTGAGCAAGAAAAATAGCTGTAAGAAAGCCATTCTTTTTCGAATTTGCTTTTACCATTATTTTAATGTCTAAAATACATTAAAAAAATTGTATTTAAGAACTACTTTTTATGCATGCAGAGTCCATCACAAATACAGAAATAATCCTCTTGTCTTCATCGGTTTCGGATTTTTTTCCTGTATTCCTCCGCGCTCTCTACTTAGCTGTTATCGGGACGGCGCATATATGAGGAGGAACGAAGACCAGTGCTAAGTATGTACCTAATTAAGAAATATAGTTGTTACTCATTAATATGTTATTTGCAATTATAATTATTTGGAATTATTTACTAGTTTACTGACATCTATGTGTCACGATCTTCTGATTTATAATATTTCCGTGGATCGGTACTGTTTGTTGCCACTTTACTAACGTCCTTTTGCTGGTTGAAATCATACAGCTTAAATCAATTCACTTTTCCTAGAATTATTTAAGCCTTGTAATCTCAAAGCTTTATATCTTGTATATGTTTAAGGTGTAGCTCGAGAAAATTATGAGTAATAGTTCTAATAAATCGCGCTATTCATTTAAATGCATAAAAATGGCTATGTGGGAAGTTACGTGTAACTCAAGGAAATCTTCCTTGATATTTAGTATTACAACAATTAGAAAAGAAATTGATATATATATATATATGTGTGTGTGTCTTCAAATAAATAAGCTTGACAAAACAAAGACAATAGAAGGAATGTAATATAGTTACAGAAGAGTACGTACAAACCATATATACAAAATGGCGATGATATGTTTGACCTTTATCAGGTGGTGCCGTATTACTGTCGAATTGTCGTCTCATATCGTGAGAGATTTAGAACAGAGATACAGAACCGCATGAGACGATTAAACCATCTCTCATGGAGCATTTAATTTTAGTTGCTTTATGAAAGAAATCATATTTGAGTTGCATCTGTTAATCTTTTCGACAGTCTTAGTCTCTCGCTTAATACACACACACACACATATATATATATATTTCTGTAATGAGATATGTAGATTATGCACAAAAAGATCACACGTTTGATAGATACTCAGTTATATGGAGTTTTCTGTCATGTGTTGTTTAATTTAAACTATTCCACGACAGCTCGAAAAGCTTATGATTTACAATGCGAAAGATCAGTCAGTGCCAAGAGGTAGGTTCATGACATGTTTCTGATATTGAAGATTGCAGTATTTAACACCGTGCTTTATAGAGTCAATATCGTAACTTACCATAACCTTTCTGCACGCACAAATACACACGCTACTTACAATCCCATATATCCGCATTTAGCATGAACATTTCAACGATATTTCTACCTAGCATCAGAATACAATACACAATATTCTGTTACTATCAGAATACAATACACAATATTCTGTTACTATCAGAATACAATACACAATATTCTGTTACTATCAGAATACAATACACAATATTCTGTTACTATCAGAATACAATACACAATATTCTGTTACTATCAGAATACAATACACAATATTCTGTTACTATTAGAATATAATACACAATATTCTGTTACTATTAGAACATAATACACAATATTCTGTTACTATCAGAATACAATACACGATATCCTGTTACTAACAGAATACAATGCACAATATTCTTTTACTATCAGAATACAATACACAATATTCTGTTACTATCAGAATAAAATACACGTTATTCTGCTACCATAAGGAATACAATACAAACTATTCTGTTACCATAAGGAATACAATACAAACTTTTCTGCTACTATCATAATACAATATACATTCTTCTGCTGAATATCTTCTGCGTGATAGCATTTTTTCTTCTTCTGAATGCCCTCCAGTGGCACAGCGGTACGTCTACCGACTTAGAACGCCGTGGTGGGCAGAGCACAGATAGCCCATTGTATCTTTGTGCTTAATTATAAAACAAACAAACACATTCTTCAGAATATTAGCCAAAGCTGTCTGTTTCAGGACTATTTGCGTTAGCTGTCCCTAATTCTGAACTGATAGACGAGAGAAAAATTGGCTAATCCTCGGCATATACCGCCAACGTTTGGGTTACTATAATCGAATAATAAGATTTGACCGTCACTCTTATAACGCACCCACAGCTCCAAAATACTGAACTCGATTTTGCGGCAACGGGACGTGAACCTTAGAGAAGGGTTTACAGTCCGGCACACTTACCACTAGGCCACACCCAGCCTGATAGTATGAGTTTGTTTTACATGTATGTATGAATATGCGTAATAAAACATGATTTAGTCTGTGGAAGTGGATAATAAGAGAAATTCATGTTTTAAACATCAAGTCCTGGTCTTTATATCACACAATCTGAGGGTCGCGGGTTCGAATCCGCATACCACCAAACATGCTCGCCCTTTCAG